ACCAGGGAGAACATCCCAGTGCTTCATCTGACTCCCTCATGTGATGTTTTCATAGGATTCATAGAATCCATCCTAGAATCATAGTTTTGCACTACAGGAAAAGGAAGGTCTATTTTCTCTTCTGATCCAAGCCCCAAACAGCAACATTTTCTCAGCTGTTTCAGCTTTCTCCTTCCCCTGAAATTCCTGCCTTATCTTGCACCAAAATACCACCCAGGGATAGTTCCTCCCAACCCATCTCTGTTCCATTACCCCAACATGGAAAAGCCATTTCAGGGTGGTGATTTCATGATACATCTTTGATGGGGGATAAATTATTGATGCAGATTCATACAAAATGAAAGGCATTTTACACAGAGAAGGAATCCTGACTGTAACCTAGATATGTCACAAAACCTGATTGCCACCAAAGAGGAAAACCTGCCCCTCACCAAAGAGGGGTAAACTATGAAAGATGCATGAAGGGAGGAGGAGAAATTAAGTGACTGGAGTGATGGAGTGGGAGATAAACACATCAAAGCAAAGGAGGCAAAAGAGAAGTGACAGTGGAGGAAAAGGGGAGGGAATTGAGGTTAAATAATTCAGGTCAGGATTTTAAAGAGCCTTGAAGAAACAAGGGTGCATAAGTCATCTAGGAATCACTGAGGGGGGAGGGGAGGAACCAACCAAACCAACGTGCTGTTCACAGCATTAAAAAAGAGCTGTTGGATTTTCTATGCCACTTCAACGGACCTTGACTGGTGTAAATCAGCAAGGAGTCAGTCCAGTTGGGGGTATTTACACCCCTCTGAGGAAGTGGGCAGAAGGGCAAATCCAACAGCTGGAATTCCAGCAGTTTTAGTCACTTAACACCGTGGATGCTGTTGGTCTTAAATTCTAATTGAATCCTCCCTCAGCTCTGCCCAACTTCTTGATGGATCTGTCTGGGAGCTCTGCCCAGTCACTGAGCTCCTTCAGGCATCATCACTACTGAATCATCATAGAATGGTTTGGTTTGGAAGGGACCTGAAAGATCATCAACCCCCCTGCATGGGCAGGGACACCTCCCACCAGCCCAGGCTGCTCCAAGCCCCATCCAACCTGCCCTTCAACACTGCCAGGGATGGGGCAGCCACAGCTTCCCTGGGCAAGTTCTGAACTTGCCATGTCTCCTCAGCCCTGGGCATACCTTTCCTGAAAAATCAGTGAAAATCATCCAATCTCTGAAGTCTAGGACCTACAAAGTGTGAAATCCAGTATGAAACACCCTTCTGAACACTTTCTTCTTCTTTTCCAGTGCTGCTGCTCCTCTTTTCTAGTGGATACATCCTTCCTGGACCAGATTTATTACTCAACTCCTGGAGAGGGAAGAGAAAACTTTGCTTCCTGCCTCTGTCTCCCTCTATTTCATTTAATTTCTGATCTGGAAAAAATCCTTTTCATTCCTTGCTCTAATTTCTAGTCTCCTGTGTTGCTCCTATTTTAACCTTGGCTTTGCTTGCTTGAGGGATTCCCTTCTCAGATTTGCACCCCTGCTGCTCCAAACCACAGCCAAGGCTGCAAGGATGCACATTAGAGACAAAAAAAAGCCATGCAAAATTCCCCCAGCATTGAATGAATCTTGCTGGTGAGAGGATAATTCCTATTAATCCCATCTATTACACCAAAAGCTCAGGATAAGCCAAAGACAAGGCAAGAACAGGGAACAGCACAAAAGGAAGGAATAATTTGCAACCTAAAAAGAGAAGCACAGTAGAAAATGATACATAATATGCTGGGTGGGCAATATGACAGTTGGTGACTTGATTATTTTGGAGAGGAGGTGGAACCTGAGTGGGCCAGATGATTTCAGGGGAAGAAAAGCTGAATGGAAAGAGAAGTGGAAGGAAGCAAGAGCCTGAGAGCAGCAGTTGACAGCAGGAGGGAGAGGAGGGAAATATTAGCAAGCAGGAACAGAATCTGCCAGGATCTGTTGTTTCTTTTTCTTAATAACCAGTAAATATTCCAGCTTGTGGCAAAATGAGCATTCTGGGGTGGGGAGGGGGAGATGCTGAGTGAGATCAGAACATTGTGTTTCTGTATGAAATGAACTTTGAATTTAGGGTTGGGGTGTTTTTCTTTTTGCTCAGCCTGAAATATGTGGTTATTTATGAGTTACATACATGTTTTCTAGAGTGAGCATCTTCTGCCTTCATTTGGGTCACTGTCTAAATTGACTCTGCTGCTTCCAAACTGACCTCTGGGAAATTTTATCTTCCTACTTCAGAAGCATTTTCCTGCAGCTTCCATGGGTGAAAGGGAAAGTTGGTGGCCACTTGTTCCTGCTCCCACCTTGGGCTGAGCTGCTTCAGGGAGGTGAACAGGCAGAAAAAAAATATCTGTATTTTGATGAATGTTAAGGTTGTTTTTTCTGCCAGCTCCCTGAAGATCAGACACTGATGGGAGAACAAGCCTTTTTTTTTCCTTCTCATCTTTTCCACCGAGGACGTCTGGGCTACGACAAGTAATGATGTATAGATAAGATACTTGGCTGGCAGGATCTAGGCTGCCTTTTTTCCTCAGGTGCATCTGATTCAGAGACAAGTGATGGGCCCCAAGACATCAGAGAACAACAGCCAGATGCCTGCCAGGTCCTGGGACAACAGCAGCTCCAGGAATCTGGATCCAAACCTCCTGCAGGCCAGCGACGTCTGGAGCTTCGGACTAGGCTCCTCTCTAATAATTATGCACTCGTGGTTAATTATACAGCCAAAAAAACAAGTTAATAACTTAATCATGTGTAAGAAGGACCTTTCAGCTACAGAGCGAGGCACACGCTTGGCACAATTATTCACAGACATATAATCTGCTTCCCTTTGCACTGAAGATTTCATGAGTCACTGTTCTCGTCTTCTCGGAGGTGCTTTGCAATGGTTCAGGTTGGATCCACTCTCATTTCTCCTTGGCTTGTACAAAGGATGTTGCTGCAAATGTTCCCCTGCAATTGATCCTTTCAACAGGGAGGTTCTTTGCAACCTCCTTGTTGGCAAAGAGAACTCACCACAATGGGAACATCAGGAGCTTGAGGCAATGTCTGCTCCTGCTTTGCCTTCAAGCCCCTTTGGGTGGATCCCCACGTTTTTTGGCTGCACAGCTCTTGGCACCCTTGGGATTGTGGCCATCACAGGGTGTCTTAGCAGTGGCACAGTATGAATAGCAAGTAGCAGAAGTAACCAAGGGGCTCTGCAAGTGGAGGAGACTGGATGTCCAAAATCATTCACTCATTTAGGTCAGATATGGGGAAGAAATTCTTCCCCATGAGGGCAGGAAGGCACTGGAACAGGTTGCCCAGGGAAGCTGTGGCTGCCCCATCCCTGGCAGTGTTGAAGGGCAGGTTGGATGGGGCTTGGAGCAGCCTGGGCTGGTGGGAGGTGTCCCTGCCCATGCAGGCGGGTTGGACTAGATGATCTTTAAGGTCCCTTCCAACCTTCACCATTCTGTGATTCTATGATTTTAAATTTGTTCCAGCCAAGCTGGAATAATTCTTGATTTACCCCTGCACTGAGCAGGGGTCTGTATAGGAAGAATACTTACATAGGAGGAGGAGGAGGTATTTAATTGACTTAGAATCATAGAATCATTGCTTAAAGCCCCACCCAACGTGGCCTTGAACACTTCCAGGGATGGGGCAGTGAGAACTTCTCTGGGCAACCTGGGCCAGTGTCTCACCACCCTCACAGCAAAGGATTTGTTTCTAATACTTCATCTAAATCTCCCCTTTGACTTCCATGTTCACTTTGAAACACTGGAGTGACTTATCCAAGCCCAAGGCACTTTCCCTGTGAGCTACACCCATCCAACCAGACCCTCTGGTTCTGGAGAGCTTAGGAGCTGCCACACTTCATGGAAGCAGCCCAGATGTCCCCACCTCCAACAGAGCAGCTGCCTTACATGATCAATTGGGGAAGGAAGAGCAGCCTTCTGCCTGAAGTTACCACTTGCAGAAAGTGAAGCAAATCCCAGCTCCAAGCATTGTAAAACTTCAGCCTAAACCTAGAAGTATTTACTGGAGTGTGCCAGGCCAGTGCCTTGCTGGAGCTGCAGTCTGGGTACTTCATGCCCTTAGTCACAGGGCTGGACTGCATCTCCCATCCTGTGCTGCATACATCTGATGGACACTGGGAGCCTCACCCAAAGAGATGGGCATGCAGGACCAGCAGATCTGCTAATCCCAACAACCAGCTACATTTATCCTACATTTCCAGTTTGTACTGAACAATATTTCAATGAAATGTTTTTGGAAAATCACAGAATGGTTTGGGTTGGAAGGGACCTGTGAAGATCATCCAGTTCCAACCTCCCTGCATGAGCAGGGACACCTCCTACCATTCCAGGCTGCTCCAAGCCCCATCCAACCTGCCCTTCAACACTGCCAGGGATGGGGCAGCCACAGCTTCTCTGGGCAACCTGGGCCAGGTTCTCCCCACCCTCACATTAAAGAATTGCTTCCTAAGATCTCATCTAAATGTCCCTTCTTTCAGTTTGAACTCACCTTCCCTCATCCTCTCCCTCCCTGCCCTTGTCCCAAGCCCCTCCCCAGCTTTCCTGGAGCCCCTTCAGGCCCTGGAAGCTGCTCTCAGGTCTCCCTGGAGCCTTCTCTTCTCCAGGCTGAACACCCCAACTCTCCCAGCCTGGCTCCAGAGCTGCTCCAGCCCTCCCAGCATCTCCGGGGCCTCCTCTGGCCTCTCTCCAACAGCTCCATGTCTTTCCTGTGCTGGAGACCCCAGAACTGGACCCAGCCCTGCAGGGAGGCTCTCCCAGTGTGAACACAGATGGGAAGCTGACCCTTCTGCTGCCCACATAAACTAGAGAGACCCTTGCAACACGTTGTGTTTCACAGCGACGAATAAAGGGAGAATTGGACCCGTTTTTCTTCCTCTGACTTTACTGAATAGAAGTCAAGGCACAGACATGCTAACAGATCCAGGTGACAGCAGCTTCTCAGTGCTTAAGAGACAAGAGAAAGTGCAGCTCAGCTCTGATCATCAGCTTTATTGTGTGCCAGCCAGACAAGCCACGGGTCATGCAAACATTACGTTTCCTCCAGCCGCCGCTCGGAAGAAAATGCTTGACTTCATGTGCACTGGTCCTGCACTAAGGTACTTGGCTCTTGGTCTGTAGCACCAGGGTTTTTCTCAGGGCTCCTGGAAGCAGAGAAAGAGCATCATGGCAAAGCTGTCAGAGCAATTGAACTGTGCACAAAACCAAAAGGCCACCCTGGAGCTGATGGTGCCTCTGCAGAGCGCTCCCCAAGTAGCCCACACGTTTGGTGTGTCCTCAGGCTGGTTGGTGAGCCTGATCCTGGTCCACAAAATTAGGAGAGCTGGAGCTCTTGACTTCTTGACCAGCCCGTGGGTTTAACTGGGACCAGGATCAAGCCCAGCCATCAGCTATGAAAAATGTTTGCCAATTGATTATAACCTGCTTTGAAGAAGCACCTCACTGTAAAAATGTCTCACAAAGCAGCAGCTTGTTTCCCTCAAGGTGGGTGATCAAAGTCCTATCATGCAGGGGAGCAGAGCTTGTGGGGTACTCAGGAAGCATCTGGTGCCTGTTAAAACAACCAACAGGAAAGCAAGGCAACCTAAACACATGCTCACCCCAATTTGAGAGCACCCCTTCTCCTCGATGCCTCAAGGAGACACCAGATGATGTGGTCAGATGGCATCAGATGGCACCAGGTGGCATCAAGGAGTTGGATGCTCATTAGGATCAGATCTGGGGCCAGCTCTGTACCTGGGGTAGTCTTGGATGGGAGCATAAGGGAACAAAGCCTGGGAGTTAGGGTTGATGCTGCCAGGAGCTCTGGGTGGGTGCTGGAAGGAAGGTCAGGTCATGTTGAAGAGCAGATGGGGAAGGAAAGACCTGTAGGGAACGAGGGAATCCATCTTCATCAGGAGAAAGGAAAGCATGTCCAGGAATGAGGAGCAATGTGTGATGGATGGGGAGGGAGCTGTGGGGCTGCAGAAAGCAGGTGAAGAGGCAGGAGAAAGTTGCTCAGGTTTCAGATGGGCAGCTTTGCACAGCAGTTGCATGAAGGAGCTGTGGAGATCCTCCCTTGTCCCCCAGCCTGATGTTGGCTTTTCCAGCCTGCAGGCTGAAGGAGGGAAGGAGAGGCTGACACCATGGCCAGGAGAACAGGTGGTAGCAATTAGCTCCTTGGCCCAGGAAACCAGCCCAACTTGGATACGTGGGTCTCATCATCCCTGCCTGAGAGGTTCATGAGCAGGACCATGTGGAGAGCCCTGGTAGGACAAACCTCACTCAAATACTCACCCTCATCCTGCCCTCCATGCCTCCAGTGAAGAGGCATTTGCTACCAGAAGCTGTGGGCAGAGGTCAGCATGGCCTTTATCCCATGGCCTCAACACAGGAAAACTGCTGAGTCCAACCCTACCAGTTCCTGTGGGAATGAGGTGAGTCCAGCACCACCAGTCAAGGAATTAGGGGGAAAATGCAGGACAGCTCCTCTTTGGAAAGATGTCCTACTGTCAGGACAGACCAGGTCCATACTGCTGATGCACAGACATCTACTAGGACAGCACCCATTGCCTGTTCCCTGGAGAAGGCTGGAGATGCCTGCACATCCTTGTCGCTGGAGAGCCTGCCCAAGGGCACTTGCAGATGCAGGCTGGACAGGTTCAAGGCTGCCAGCATCTGTTCCAGATGCCAAATTACCCACTCTGAGCAGATCTTCACATCTGCTCTAGCAAGGGAGGATGCAGTAACTACCAGGACTGAGCTCAGGTCTTCCTGTACCAGTGAGTATCTGATGTTGCAGGTGGGTCAACACCAGGCTAATCCCACCTCTTCCCTGGTCTTGCTGTCCAGCCCTGCTCTTGCTGTTGCTCTGCATTTCAGAATAGAGTTTGAAAGCCAAAGCTCTCCCTGGAGGGACATAAACTGTTTGAAATCACCCTCTGTTCACATCTTCCTTAGCCCCTGCTGGAGTCCCCAGGGGGATTCACCCTTCTCAGCAGCCTTGCTGTGGTTCCTCTCTGTTGAGGCTGGTTTGGTTTGGAAGGAACCTTGAAGATCATCCAGTTCCAACCCTCCTGCCATGGGCAGGGACACCTCCCACCAGCCCAGGCTGCTCCAAGCCCCATCCAACCTGCCCTTCAACACTGCCAGGGATGGGGCAGCCACAGCTTCCCTGGGCAACCTCTTCCAGATAATTGTGTGATTGTCCTTCCCACTAAAACTCATTCCAAACCTATTTTAAACTGGAAGGAGTGTGAGGGGGAAGCAATTACATGGTTTTTTTCCCCTAGGAACTGGTGTCCAGGGACAACACAGCACTGCACAGCCTCTCACCAGGAGGAGAACAACCAGGGCTGATGTCTGCAGGGCTACATGGTGAGGTCCAGCCCTGGATACCAGCCTTGGGAAGAGTGAGCTGGGAAGGTGCAAATCAGAGGGTTGAAAGGAAAGACTGACCCTGAATCGTAGCAAGTCCTAACACAGAAACATCAACACTTACAGATGATCCTTGTCTTAGCCAAGTGAGGAAAGAGTTTGGAGATCTTGGCCCCCCAGGAGGGCTGCTGGTGGCAAATCATTGCCTGGTGAAGCCCACGGGAGTAGAAGAGATTAATTATGCAACGTGACAAGGTGAGAAATGGAGAGGAGATGGATTGAAGGTGACAGATCATCACTTGGGTTACAGCTGAGAGAGAGACTCAGAGAGAGCACAAAATTCAGGAGGGATTCATCTCCCAGAAGCAGCACCTGGTATCTAGGAACAAAGAAAAAGGATGACCACCATGAGCATAGCACCATCTCCTCCTTGCTGGTCCTGATGTGACAACAGGGAGCTGGGATCTTGTGCCTTTGGGTCTAAACTTGCCTCTGAAGCTGATGGGCTCCAGCAATGTTATCCTGTTCTTCACAGATGTGGTGCTCATGGCTCATCCCTGACCCTCTAGGGATTCAGCTCTTGATGTTTTAGTGGCCTCATATCAAAAAGAGCCAATGACATTGATCCTTTTCTGCCAAATTATCTTCACCCAAAGGAGTTTAACAATTTGGGAACTGTTACAAGGCCATACAGACAGAACAAACTCCAGGCACATGGAAAGTTGAAACTTGCCTTCAAGAGCAACTAGAAGCAACAAGGATCATCTCTCCCCATGGCTCAGAAACTGCAAAACAGCCCCATGTAGCTGTGAAGAAAATTGGCCAAAGAGCCAATTTTAAAAAAAATAGAACCATGAAAAAAATCTGTCCTCCCTTTCCCAGAGAAGTCAGGTGAGGAGATCTTTTGGTTTGGGCCCTCCCCCAGAGGACACTGGCAGGTTCATGCTCCTCAGAAGATACAAACTCATCAATTCCTGGGCAAACATAAATAAGAATTAGATAACACGGCTTGGCAGTTCAGTTCTCTCTTCTGAATCCTTTGTGGCCCCTTTGTGCATTGAAATTTGCTGTCTGTGACAACAGAGACAAAAATACAAGTTGTCCTTGTCCTAAAAAATGTCCTCCTGAACATTGTACTTAATGACTGGTCTTGGTTCCATCCCTTGGAAAAGGAAACAGCATCCAATAGAGAAGCTGACACTGTAAATTACAGCAGGGAAATGGAGAAATGGTCACCAGTTTGGGGCCAACAAGGGCTGAAGGAGAAGAAAGTGTCTGCTGGTGAAGTCTGACCTGCCATAGGTGTGAGGAGAGCAGCAAGGACCTCAGGGTTTGAGGGCTTCAGCAACTGTCCACCTGCAAAGCAGCAGGTACAGAAGCTCTCACAATGCTCTGCCAGCAGAACTGTAGGTGTTAGAAGGCTTCATGTACCTCCCAGGTCAGCTAGGGACCTCAGTGGCACCCAGGAATCTTGTCCTAAATACTAGTCAGGCCCTAAAACTGGGCAGCTGAGATTCTTGGCTGCTGGTTTAGGTGGTTCTAGAGCTTTTTCACTCTTGGAAAAGAGTTTGGAGGAAGAGAAGGCAGCACAGTGGGTGGGAGCAGGTCCTGGGGGCTCACAGGAATGACCTACAGCAGGGGATCCTCCTTCCCACTGCCTCTTCCCAGTATCTGCACTGAAATCCCTGGAGCCTGGAGGTCTCAAGCACAACCCAGATGCAGGTCTCACGTGCCCTAGATGAAATCTCCAGGCTCCTCAGTGGGGAGGATTGGAACTCCCCACACATTTCAAACATAGAATCATAGGATGGTTTGTGTTGGAAGGGACCTTAAAAACCATCTAGTCCCAACCTGCCTGCCTGCCTGGGACATCTCCCACAGGACCAGGTGAATTTCATCTCTTCTGCCTGCTCTTGCACTCCCAAGGGCAGGAACAGACACTGAAGGAAGCCCAGGAGACTGAGCATTGCTTGATCCTTCTCCCATCCATGTCCACCAACTAGCTTCAGTTTGGTCTTGAGTTACATCTTCAGACCTAACTTCTGCAGATGGTCCATGAAACGAGACCAATGGCCATGCTGGGAGCTCAGCTCCTCACTCAGCATGATAAAAGAGTCTCCTTTGCTTTCTGGCAAGTTGGCATCACACCACTGGCAGTGAGGGTCACACTAAGGGTAGAGGAGCTGAGCTGCTCCTACAACTTTCCATGTGTGTAGCAGCTGGGAAGAAGCACCATCTTCACAGCTCCAGCCAGCACAGACCAAACCAGCATGTCCAGGCAACAAATTAGGACCAGGAGAGAGCAAGGAGCCCACCTGGGACTTGGTCACAATCAAGTCCTTGCTGTACTCAGAGGTCATAGGGACCACAGCAGGTCTAGTCCTAGCCTGGGATGGAGGAAGCAGATGTTCAGGTCACCTTCTGAACCACAAGAAGCCTCCTGGGCATCCATCTCTGAAACAAGTCCTGCTGCTAAGCCAGCTTCTGCTTCTTCCCCTGAGAGGTGCATCTGCTTGGCTTCCCACTGACACACTTGTGCCCTGTCTCCTGCAACACGCTGGGAAAGGCAGTTCCTTCACTCCTGCTCTGGGCTAGAAGGTTTCTCCTTCACTCTCCTCAGCTGCTGCGTTTGTCAAACCACCTGCCAACCCAGGAGGTCTCTGCACAAAGCTGGAGAGAGGCCAACCTCTTTATCAGATGGACCAGAATTGCAAAGGACAGAAGGTCACGCAGCTCTGAAGGCGCCAGGCTCCTACACACACAGCAAAACCTGTCTCTGTGGCTGTAA